TGTTAATAACTCGGTAACCAAGCCCCATTCTGCATTTTGCCAAAGGAAATTGTTGTTCAGGAAGACCCTCCCTATCTGCCATTTTCGGCTCTTACACCCTTTACGGAACACCCTGTATATAAAATGATTCTTTGAAATTCTATAAGGAATACAGTTACACGAATTGAGACTGCATTTGCTTAATCGCGATTTAACGATCTGGCCAACTTGTGCGTTTGCAAAATAGAGTAATGGAGTATCTGGATCCACATATATTCTGAGTGGAAGGCACCGCGGGGTGTCCCATTTGGTTACTTTAATTCGGGGTCTGCGATAGCGATATTTCAACGTCGATGCAGGAACAACGATTTCGGCCTTAGGTTATTAGCAACCTATTCCCATCTATTCCATCTTTGTGCACGCATCCCCTCCGGTGTTCTCTACGCCCACACGCATCGTACCCTCCGGGATCGATATCGATCGCCGTTTGAGTTTTGGGAAAATAAACGAATAAAATACGAAACAAAAATTCTAAAAAAAATATTTCGAATACAAAATATTTTAAATAATGTCTATCCGATCCGACCGAGAAATTAGGAATGAGAATATTAATTAACTAAGAATATTCTAAATGATTTTAGCCGAACAGTATGGCAATGGCATTGGCACGACGGGGTCTCATTGAAAGATAAAAGACGCTGTCTTCCGTCGAACGATGCGAGCCAGGATCCGAGTGGGTCGCAGCGCAGTTTTGCGCCTAAGCGGACAATAATAAATCGGAGTGCATGGGTGGCCGCGCTGTGTTCCGTTAGCATCCACTCCCCCGCGAGCCGTTCTTGTTCCTCCGACCTTTACACTGCGAGTCGTTCACCGTGCTGGAAGCTGACCGATAGAAAAACAATTTTATTGCAACCAGGAAGAGCTTTGTTTCGCCGTACGTCGGCTTCCGCCCACCACCGCTTCCATGAAAAATTAATAAACGCCACTCTCTATGTAGATACGAACACGCACTATTGTCTTGGGATTCGGATCCCGGTTCTCCCGTCACTCAATGCATCCTCTGATTTTATGGATTCAACTCCGGGTCGATAGACAATTCTATTAAAACTATTTTACACACCAGTCAATTGTAATTATTATTATTTCTTTTCTACGAAAGGAACTTGAAGAAAGTTTATAATTGAAGAAAGCGTGAGATTTCCTGCACATGCTGTTTTCTGGGGGAACATTAACAGCGACAGGGAAGAGTGGCGATTTAAAAGGCATTCTTTAAAGTGAACACGTGGAGGGAAGGTGAGAATCGAACGAGTGAAAGTGACAAAGGGGGAGCGAAGGTAGAAACTAAAGTTTCCATGATTCTCTTTAAGGATTTTCTTCCCCCGCACCAAGTACATTTCCCTTCAAAAGTTTAATACAAAGTTGCAAATAAATGAACAAGAAGACTCGACAGCATAATCTGTTTTTATAAACTAAACAAAAAATATTACAATTAACCCTTTCATTTTCCAATAAGCAATACAAGATTAAATACCGTTAATACCTTAGCATACAAAATAATGGATTTGTAAAAAAAAAAAAATGCATTTTTCTTTTATATTATAAGTTCGAAAATTCCATTCAGACTTTCTAGCGGCGCCTTCTTTGCATCCTCTGTTTTGTTTCAACCAAGGTAGAGTCCCCTTTCCTTTCCCGAGCGTCGCGTCCTCGCTTGTTGCGGATATAAACGAGGCGAAGAGTATAAAATAATGAAAATTTATAGCTGCCCCCACCCTCGCACGGTCCCTCTCCCCTCCCAGGACGAATAGAATGCGAGGGGTACGCAATTTGTAGAGCTTTCAAGGAGCTTTGCTCCCGGCTTCTGATGAAAATGGCGAAGCAACAGTGACAATTACCAGGAGCCTTGTCGCGTTTCCATGCCCCCCCATCCTCGCGTTTTCTTCCAACCGTTTCGGAAGCCCTTGTTACAGGTGTTCCCCGTTTTATAGCCCGTAACTTGATAGACGCTCCTCGCTCTCCCCTCGCCGCGTATTTTACACCGAAAACGAACGGGCGATCTTCAATCGCAGGGAAATGGAACGCGGAATCCGGTAATTAAACGTAATTAAATATCTTGCGAGCGAAGTGATTAATGGATAATTTTCAATAAAGCCTTCAGTGATAGCAACCGTAAACGGACTGTAAATTCGGCAATGACGGGCGCTTGCAGACGGATCTCTTTGCATACTTAATTGGTACATTGGTATGTACGGTTCGTGATTCTCAAATTAAAAGTGAAGATGGATCTCTTTATACAGGACGGATTCTAAAAGGTGTTCGGAGCGCGAAGAATTATACCCGGAAACGAATTCGATTTTCGAGAGAGCGATTACCAGACGGGGATAATATACCAGAATACGCGAAACCCGGGGATCGTATTTTAAGCACAGATTACGTAGGTACGCCGCGAATTAATTGAATCGCACAGCCAGAAAAGAGCATTTGCACCGGCAGTGGAGCGAGTGCTCGGCTATAACGCGCGCAGGACGGTTAATTCGGCAAGTGCAAGGAACTACGTACATCCACGAATTCGCGAATCCAATAAGTAGCATTTCCGGTATTCAAGCCGGCTGCATTATGGCTGATTTATGAATAGTTTATGTCCGCCAGTAAAAGGTTTCTTCCTGACCTTCGATGCTCCTCATTATCCTACACGTGTGCTTAAGTCTCAATAGCAGTCGATGCTGTTGAATTCACTAATCAGATGAATAAATATGCGAATTTAGATCAAATAATTAAATGAAATAAAAGAATTTGGATTTAATACTCTAAATGATTTTACGTAATCACCTGTGTTTAAATGCATATAATAAGAATGAATTGTCCGTGAGAATCTCCAGTCTGGTGAAGTAACAGTACTTCTCTCAGAAAGCATTGCACTTTCTGATCTATCAGGTTACCAAAGATTATCTACATCGCTGAATCGCTTCGGCGGTTAATACTCTGAAAGAAAGCTCTTAAATCGTCGCCCACGCAATCTCACGGTTACGAGTAGTAGAACGAAGGTAATGGGTCCCCGCAGGATTTCCTTACCGCATAGCAAGATGCGTATCAATCGCGTCAGTCGTTTACGCGTCGGGACCCAAGGGAGAAGGCGATACGTTGCGTTGCGTAACGCAATATCTCGCGGAATTGACATGGTAATATTTCCGCGAGAAGCGTTAACGACCGTAGCTACCGAGATTCCCCAGGTCCCCGGGTCCGGTGCTCCCGGCGCGGTTGTAAATACGTTTCTTTTTGTTCGGAGAACGACGTCTTGACGTCCCCGAGGAAATCCACACCGACGCCCCTGCCTCTCCGAACTTTTCCCAACTTTCGAGGACGTCGTAGGAAACGAGCAGATTCTCGCCCTCTTCGACTTCCCAAGACGAATACGTTTAATATACATGCGATAACATCTGGAAAAAATTTGATGCATAACTCGAGAACGTGAAAGCGTGCTCAATGGAATTTATGGTACGAGAGGGAACAGGACTTTTCTGATTTGCGATAAGCTTGACAAGCTTCAAATGAATTAACAAAGAGCAATAGGTCAAGAATTGTACTTTATTGCCGTCAATGAAAATTACATAACACATGTACAGTGTCCTGTATTTGTGTAACTAATTGGAAATACATTATACGCAACGTAAGCAGTAATCGTTACAGTGCAAATAATTGGACGAGATAACTCTCAAACGGACAAATTGATAGTCGTTAGGGAACGAGGAAGGCGATCATTAATACTCGTAAATAAAGAAGAGAATTATTATTTTGCTTGCGGGACTCCGCATAATTAGAATGAAGCATTCTCGACGCCGCCGCAATAAGACCAATAAATCATCCGGACGCCGTATTAAAAACAAAACGAGGAGAAAAATCGTGCGTTGTACATCCTTTCCCTTTCTCGTCGGTAAGCCGTCGAAGACGTCGATCGAGCGGCCTTAGAACGACTCAAACGAAGGTCCCATCCATCCGGCTTGACTTAACAAGGATTCATTTACTTCGACCTCCGTACGTCAGTGAAAGATACAAAGATAAATAGAGAAGGAGAACTCACCGGTGGCCGTATTTATTCTGAAGGAGTTACGACTAATGCCATTAACTGGAAGCTGTTGCATTTAATCGCGGGGACGAGTATGGTAATACGCTTTCCTTATTTATGTACCGAAAAATCTCTGGATCGTGTAACAAGAGGAATCCCGTCCGCACGCGAGACCATTCATCATCCGCGCCTTTGAATCGTCGTCGATTTGTCACGCTGCTTTTTCTTAATCGAGAGATTCCTCATTAAACTCCCGCGACGGCTATTAATGCGAACAAACATTACGTGACAGCCGTATTCATTAATTGTGGAGGTCAATTTAATCGCATAATCAACTGATTTCGAATTGCAGCAATTTACGATTTTAAGGCTGCCGATTCATTTTTTTCTTGCTCAAACACATGCAAACACTCATTAGCAGATTATAGAGAGACGTAACTTAAATTAAGAATTTACGCCATATTAAGGTACTTAAATATTTTTTGCCGCTACTGTATTTTCTTATAAATACGAATTTGTTCATGCTTTTGAAATTTGTGAAACCCTGAAAAAACCCGATCCCGTGGACGTTTACTAATGGCAGCCCAAAAAGATGAACTCGAGAACGTCTGCGAGTCCCGTCGTGTAGGGGTGAAACGGATGGTTGACGTTAAATCAGTAATTCGCTCGGCATTAATTACTGCTAACCATTTTAATATCCCTGGCATGTGACAGCGATCACGTAATTATCGCTATGATCCCTGATGCGGCGCGTGCAAATTAAAGCGTGGAGCTAGGCGCAGTTTAACGGAGTTCCAGCCCCTTCAGCATACAGGTACCGTGCCACGTTAGTCAGCTTGTTAATCTCACTTATCGTGCGTTATTACGCTTGCTAACCTAAAGCTCGATACGTCGCGACGTATCGCGTCGTTAAAGTAAAAGCGGAGAGAAATTAAAAAGGGATAGAGAAATTATTATCCGTGGTTAAATTTAGTAGTTTAGACAGCAGTTAAAAATTTAAACAGATTTCATAAACGTGTGAATATATAAATTTTATTATGATCTGAATTTTTGTTTAAATCGTGTAACTGCGCCGATTGCAATTTCACTTGAGATGTTCAAACGCAACTTAGGAAAATTGGTTGCACCCATCCCACGTATATCCGTTCCGGTATCGCATAGTCTCCGGAAAGTTTTCTTTGACCGTCTATTTGGCCAAATAATCAGCCACTGGCTAAGGGGTTGAACTATCAGTGAACTATTCTCGTTACAGGTAATAATCCGTTTCTAAAGGTTCTGGCATCCCGCGATTAATACAGGGCCTAGGCTAACGGACAGAAAGGGGATTAGCAAGTTTCGAGGGATCGCAGACTTGATTACAGTTCAAAGATACATCCTCAAAGATACGTTTCTTCCTTATCCCTTCATCATCGAATCACATGTTCATTAATAAAATACGTAATTAGTTTATTTAATACAGATTTCATGATATTTCTGGTATTCTTTTTATTACAGCATTCAATGTGAATTGAGACATTATATGCATCGCATGTTTCAGAAATGATACTTAAAAATTGTAGCTAGAATTGAATTAGAGATTTTTCGCAAAATCTATCGATTTTGCAAGACGCGGAACGGATTCAGCCGGTCTGTTTCTGTTGATTTGAAAGCCGGGGAGACGAGACACGCGTGTATCAAACCTTCACTAATAAACGTACCGCGGACTCATAATACAGTTTCCCGCGAAATGAACGGAAGCAGAAAGGGACGTTGTCATTCAACGGCCGCGTCGATCGATGGATACCGGGGGCTCGCGGTGCCGGCGTATGTACACGCGGATGGGAAACGCGGAGGTTAATTAACGAAGACTTTTCATCGTCGCGGGGGTAGAATCCAACGTCCGCATCGGAACCGGATGCCACTGTCGGCGCTCGTGTTTTTCTCCAACCCCCGGCTAGGGTTTGGTTATCGCGTCGCGTATCTGACTTTGACCGTGACTCAGCCGGGCACCGCTATTTAAACCGTGCAAAAAGGGGTGGATAACATCGCGTGTCACCCGGTCGCATTTCGAAATCCCCGGCTCATTAACGTACAGCCGGCCGCCTCTCCGATTTGCGGTACCGATGCCCGTGAGATTAATAACGTTAGCTGGCAGATTTAATGCGACTCGTGTATATCTTGATTATAATATCGGATAGGGCCTGTTTGATGAATAATTATCAACCCTTGTGCGCTCGTTTTCTGTACACCCTCGATCGCCCGGACTTCGTTTAACCCTCGTGTCAATCCGATGCACGGATAAGAAATCAATACAGGACATACAAACTCCCTAAGTTAGGAAACGTACTTCCTTCCCAATTCAATTTTATTTAATTTATTCATTCAAAGATTAGCATTTACATTAATACATATATTTTTATTACCGCTTTTAAATGTTTTTCACATTGGCACGAGATAAAGTTTTACAGTCTGCTGTTTATCATTTTTTCTTTGCTCGACGCAGTCTCTATTGAACTGTAACGCTACAAAGAAACAGTCCTCGCCAGGAACACGTGCGAGAACAAAGGTTCCGCAGGGGTGCTTGTTGACCGACTCATCGAAGGATCGTTACACGGTTCGAGCTGCCGGTGACAGTGATCGTTAAACGGGCACCCTTCTGACGCGTGCCGCGTTTCTTCGCCCGCGTGCGCAACACGTGCAATCGCGTTTCTCAACCGTTCGCACCGTTCCCCGTCGACAAAGCATTGCGTCGAAACAAGTGACAAAACCGGCGTTAAGCTCCCAACAGCACCGTGACTAGGAAGTTGGAAAACGGAAGCGAGAGGGCAACGCGTGTTCAATCATCGACGCCCTCGTAATAATACTGAGAGGCTTTGCAGACTTGGAAACCGCCAATTTCCTGGATACCTCGCAAGTCTCCTGCAACAATGCCGTGTTATTACGCGGTCATACGCAAACGATGATGGGAACGTCTTAACCCAGTTTGAAATCACGTTAAGAATTACCGTAGTTCAAGTAGAAGCGGGTTTCTCAATCATTTTTTCAATTTACGTACTCTAATTGTCAAGGATTTATGTTAAGTATAATAGAAATTTTTGGCTCATGCACGTAATGTTAAATAAATAATTAAAAAACCTTATAATGAGAAAATTGATAAATAATACTAAAACCAGTGTTGATACTTTGGTTACTAAAATCAGAATATTCAAAATCGACTTTGCTATAAGTCTGACTGATTCTAGCCATCGAATCGCACAAAGAGCGAATCGAATCTTCGATCGGCAGGCGTGCGCGCGCGCGCGCGCTCTCGCGGAATTAATTGAATCGATCAAAAATGCAAGACGCGGCTCGCAGGAACCCCGTAGACGTCTAGACCAGAAACACTTTGGGCCCCGTGCCAAAAAACACGGGGGCGTCGCGTCGTCGCCGTTCGAAAGATCTTTATCTATCGGGGCTGCTATCCACTCGCGTTATACATATGTATTATGTATGTACACTCTCGTTCACAAGTCGCCAGACTGTCCAAACTATCATAAAGATAACAAGGTATGATAATGACCTCTCGAAAACCAAACCACGTTTTCAATTAAACTACCTGTTTATTTAAACAAAAATTCCTGTGCAATGAAATTTATGTAATTATAAAATAATTAACCAAAATACAATCGATTTTTTTTATAATCAATTTGAATTGTTTATTTTACAATTTCTGTGGATTCATTTTTTTTTTTTATTAAGAAAATAGCTTTTCTGTTTGGAGACAATTTCTGGGCTATCGGTAAAACTTTCATTCTCCAACTGAGAGTCAATGAACGTTTTCCTGGGTAACTTCTGACCGGGAGTGTATGTGATTCGTTCGGCCACACATTGGAAGCGGAGGATTGGCAAACTCCTTCCTCACGGCCGATTCGGTTCGGTGCATAATGCGCGGCTTGGCTGCCGGTAGCGTATGGTCATCGGCTGTTGTGAATTGGTCAAACGAACCGTGGAAAACCGTGCAACCGGCGGACGCGATGCTCAAACGTAACAAATTGCGGCCAAATATCATCAGTTCTACCGCTCCTTCCCTATTCCCGGAACTCTTGATTCCAACCTTCGAACATACATACATATTTCGTACTGCTGTTTCATGAACATTGATTCAAAGAATTTATGTATCAATTTATAAACTGTCATTAGTTTCTTATTATATAATTATATACATAAACAGATAATTATAAAATAATAATTTTTAGATTAATAAAATTCAGGATGAAAATTATACTTTTAATTATATTCGTTCTTTCGGAACGATTGATATTTCAATTCGCGTGGGAGAATCCGTCGCCTTTAACCCGGATTATCCTCATCCGAAATTCTACGAGACAACGGACAAACAAGGAACGAGCGATTTATCAATTTTCGGAGACCGATTGTTCCGGCGCATAAAATATCATTCCGGCAGGCAACGAGCGTCGGTGAATGGATCGCGCAATCGCCGCAGGGCTGCCGCCGGGGATAATAATTATTATTTCGCGCGGTTAACGAATGAATTGTGTCACGTGCAACGCGCCGCGAGCCCAAAGAGAAAATGGGGTGTGGCGTTGAACGAAGACGGGGATAGCGCGAACGAGCGGAGGGAGTACGAGAGAGATAGACCGGAAGCGTCTCGTAATTACCGTGGAATCGCGAAATTCGCCGATCTTGATTGGCGTGCGTCGCGTCGAGTCGAAAAACCGCGTTTCGGTTAAAGCAGTTACGTAATTTGAACCGTGCCTTGCTTCATAGATGCGGAATGAACCAGAGTAGTCATACTATTTTTATATTCCTCCTAAATCATTCAGCCGTAGATTAGTTATTAACGCATTGAACTTTCGAGGCCCGTTATAATATTTAATAATATTATTAAGATTGATTTTTAAATTGTGGAGGCAAGTTCTTTCTCAAGAACTGAACTCAAATAATATTTTAAAATATATAACAATAAATATAATAAAAAATCTATGGCACTTTCAGGTGTCATGTATTCTAATTTTTAATAACATAAATCGACGAACGTGAAAACTGAAGCGTGAATGCATCCCGTGCGCAATTAAATAAAGCAAAAAGGATAGTGTCGAGCCGGTGAGGATCTGTCTACAAAAATCTCGCAGGCCAGGTGCGGCTCTCGTCGAAGTACATAAATCATCCTCACCCGGAGGCACGCACCCAGCCGTTTTTTATCCGTTCCGCTCTCAAGTTATCGCCGGTATTAGCGCTCGCAACAACGGAGCGAGGGGGCGGGTCGCGACCTTCGCCCGTTAAAAAGACAAGACACGCGTTTCTACATGCGGCGTACACGGGATCGGTAACAGCCCCCGCGGGACCACGACCGGTCGTGCTCGGGGCTTGTTTCTAGGTTTGTTGTCATTCTTGTTTTCGAGGAGCTACGGGGCGCCCGACGGGGGGTCCCATGGGCCACACACGCTCAAAGCCTCCGATACTCGGGCCCCACTATCCCTATATATCTCTCTCTCTCTCTCTTTCTCTATGCTCGACAACCGTTTACCTGGTTACATGTCCCGCCTTCTTTTTGGACCGGCCGACGTTTCGGCTTTTTCATTAGACCAGTTTTTAATCTTGATTGATCGGTACATGGAATCACGACCGGTGATCGTTAAACGCCGGATTTTATCCGGCTGGCACGTGGATCGTCGGCCAACGAACTGTTCGTTTCGATCCTACGCCGCCTGCACTTATTTATGGCAGTCGGTATTTAGAAGCCACAAGAGTTGTACAATTGTGCATTCCTCATACATTCAGGGTATAAATTGTTACACTCGTTGATATTAAATAAAACCGTACTTGACTGCTCTTTCTTATATAAAACAATTCGTATAGAGGAACAAATCGTATAAAAGAGAAAACGACTGCAAGTGTTTCAAATAATTGAACGGTTTCAATTGCGACAACACATACGGACGGCATTAAAAGCAAAAGCTTGTACAGGAGATTTAGTTCTGAAGATTTTCGAGTCCTAGACAAATCTCGTACGACGTTTCTTGGTTTCCAACGGCACGTTTAATCTCCGACTGGCCTTTATTGGGCTCTCGGATAACGTGTCATCGAATAATCGACGTCTCCATTAATCGACGCCCCGAATAATCGACACTTTTCCGGATCCGGGCTTCCGTTGTTTTTATTTTCTCAGCGATGCTCGAGCCGACGAGGCGAGAGCGAGGGTTTTAAAAAAGGAGATCCATTAGTCGCCGGGCAAAAAGAAGGCTGCGTTCGAAAGGAGAAAGGGATAAGGGAAAAAAGAATGAAAAGGGTGAAGAGGATTAATCGTTATTTACTAGAGGCGATCCGTCTTCCTCCAACGTACATGCTTTATGATAAAACAACTGGAATTCGTTATGATAGAAGATAAATTATTCAGTAAACTTATTACAGAACGGAAACTAGGTTTTATATTAAAAATCTCTCTCTCTCTTTCTCTATGCTCGACAACCGTTTACCTGGTTACATGTCCCGCCTTCTTTTTGGACCGGCCGACGTTTCGGCTTTTTCATTAGACCAGTTTTTAATCTTGATTGATCGGTACATGGAATCACGACCGGTGATCGTTAAACGCCGGATTTTATCCGGCTGGCACGTGGATCGTCGGCCAACGAACTGTTCGTTTCGATCCTACGCCGCCTGCACTTATTTATGGCAGTCGGTATTTAGAAGCCACAAGAGTTGTACAATTGTGCATTCCTCATACATTCAGGGTATAAATTGTTACACTCGTTGATATTAAATAAAACCGTACTTGACTGCTCTTTCTTATATAAAACAATTCGTATAGAGGAACAAATCGTATAAAAGAGAAAACGACTGCAAGTGTTTCAAATAATTGAACGGTTTCAATTGCGACAACACATACGGACGGCATTAAAAGCAAAAGCTTGTACAGGAGATTTAGTTCTGAAGATTTTCGAGTCCTAGACAAATCTCGTACGACGTTTCTTGGTTTCCAACGGCACGTTTAATCTCCGACTGGCCTTTATTGGGCTCTCGGATAACGTGTCATCGAATAATCGACGTCTCCATTAATCGACGCCCCGAATAATCGACACTTTTCCGGATCCGGGCTTCCGTTGTTTTTATTTTCTCAGCGATGCTCGAGCCGACGAGGCGAGAGCGAGGGTTTTAAAAAAGGAGATCCATTAGTCGCCGGGCAAAAAGAAGGCTGCGTTCGAAAGGAGAAAGGGATAAGGGAAAAAAGAATGAAAAGGGTGAAGAGGATTAATCGTTATTTACTAGAGGCGATCCGTCTTCCTCCAACGTACATGCTTTATGATAAAACAACTGGAATTCGTTATGATAGAAGATAAATTATTCAGTAAACTTATTACAGAACGGAAACTAGGTTTTATATTAAAATAGATTTTTACCTTGTTAGTATAAATTAAAAGTGATAGGTTCGTTGCGTCAACCGGATTTGTCCAATTCGACAGACGTACGTTCGTCAAGTCCACTGTTACTCGACATAAGAACATAATACCTTTTAACGATGAAACGAATACGAAAGCACATGCATATCAAGTTCAGCGCCAGGTAAGCTTCGTAATTTATACCCAATTACTGACGAATTCCTCACAAACGCGGAGAAAAATGAGGAAAATCCAGAGGATTAACCATCAAAGTCTAACTAACAAATGCTAGGAATATTTAGATGCACTGGTAAATAGATTCGATTAAATGAAAATCACACTCTCAAATTTATTAATAGAATCAAAGATACATTAAATACATTTTTTGCAAGATGCTTTTTTTAGTAAGATGATAGGATTGATGATTGTGAATTTAATTATTCATTGAAATTAATCGTAGGATTGAAGATGCTGGGGAAACGTTCGTTGCTAACGAGATGCTTTCTAAGAACGTTTTGTTGAACGCTTTAACTTGCTCTATTCAATTCTAAGAACAAGAAGCTAGAAGATTCGCATGCACTATGCATGTAAAATGTTTCTCTTTGAACAACTTCATAGAACCGCGTCTCTTCCCTCCAATTTCTACAGCGGCTGGGGATAGAGAAAAGGGAAGAACGTCTACTAGAGGGAAGGTAGGGAATGGCACCGCTATTCACCGCGGTCACGCTGAAAAATTTAGTCCCACCTAACGAGTGTAAGCTGAGATGGGGTCATAGTAGTTTTCCCAGGAACAAGAAAAAATGTATATAGATCAATTTTAGTAGATTCCCTCTTGAACTTCATGGTCAGTAATTAATCTAGAACAGATTTAATGGCCAATTATAACGAGTTCTGTTTAACGAGTTTATAATTCTATTAGTTCACATACGAATGTACATAGCAATGGATCATGTGAAAGGAAATTTTAGTTAAATTCTATTCAAAGCATATGTCGAATTTTTAATATATTAATTTCCAACTGTGTTACGTGAAGTCTGTAATATTTTTGTGTTTCACTGTATGAGTTAATTAATATATTCAATTCTTGGAAGATAACGGTGGCTCTCATCCGACAGGCGTTTCATCAAATATGAAAGAACAGGTACACTTGACCCAGCGACATGGTAGCTGAAGTGTAGCCTTCAGCAGTTGCCATTATTCATAATTGTCTTTGCACTGGTATTTGGGTTATCTCTGTTTCAATGCAGC